ACAGCACTATTTACAATAGCAAAAAGATAGAAACAACCTAGGTTCCCATCAAAAGAAGAATGGATAACCAAACTATGGTACAGACACACAATGGAATAGTATGCAACACTAAAGAATAATGTAGAATCTGCAAATCACCCCATAACATGGATGAACTTGGGGGACATTATGCTGAGTGAAATAAGTCAATCACAGAAGGACAAATATTGCATTTGTTCATTATTGTAAAAAGTCAAGAAAAGGTTTATATGTGGAAACTTTCTTTGTTGGTTATCAAAGGTGGAAAGGGAAGGGAGGGAACACTGCAAAAAAAAAAAAAATGCATTGTCCCATGTCACTTTAGTCTTGTGTAGTTCACTGTACATAAATTATATTTCAATAAAATGTATTAAAAGAAAGAAAGCTAAACCAGACAACAATGTAAGCATGAAGCAAAACCTAACAAAGCCTGACGTTGAGGCTTTACTACATGCCAGTCACCATTGACTCACATGACTCATGTAAAGTCAACATCAATGGCACTTCCTCAGGTCTAAAATCAAGAATCCTGTGTTTGCAATAATGAGATATGGAAATATGGCCTGGTGGCAAGACCGCCCCTGGTCATGAATTCCCAAGAAACAAGGAGAGCTAGGTTAAATAATGAACGGGAGATAAAGCCTAATTTGTAGCGCAATTTGTTGGTGAAAGAGAGCAGAGAGATTGTGAATTGTAAGTCACCCTGCAGTGATCTTTGTTGTCTGGCAAGGATTAAAGATGATAAGAATTATTCACACATTCCTGGAATAGGGTCCCAATTTCTCCCCTCAGGAGCCTGAGTGGTGCAGTGTTTAAGTACTCAGTTGCTAACCAACCAGAAGTTTGGTGGTTGGAATCCACCAGCTACTCCATGGAAGAAAGATGTGGCAGTGTGTTTCTATTAAGACTTGGGGCTTTGGAAAACCTATGAGGTAATTTTACTCTGTCCTATAGGGCTGCCATGAGTTAGAATTCAACTCTGCAGCAATGGGTTTTCTCCTCCTTAGAGCACTTTCTATACAAGGCTGGTCAAAAGGAGTTTACCTCATTCAGAGATGAGAACTAATCAGAAAGAAACAATCGCAAGACCCACAAACAAATACTATACATACAAACAGTGAAAGAAACAGAAAAAAACAAAAGGCAGATAAAGAACATTTACCAGACAAAAAAAATCTTTATGAAATATTAACAAAAAAATTCAATGAAATAATTACTCTATCAGGGAAAAAAAAGAATGAAGAGACAATGTAGTAAAACAATAAAAGATAACACATTACATTGCTGAGTTTGGGTGGGGAAGAACAGAGGAATAAAACTCATCTCAGAAATGAAAGTCAAATTGAAAGGCCAAAGGGGAATAGATGATGCTGAATGCACAATATTGGACATACAGGAGAAGATTGAGAAGAATGAATGGTATGACAAGAAGATCAGAGTGTGAAAAGAGATTCAAGGGAAAATATAAATAGGAAAGACAGAGTACACCCAATATAATCGTGGAATGGAAACCCTAAGGGAAAGAGAATATATATGAGAGATTATATACACAGAGAGAGAACCCACATTACAGAAAAGCATATGTGAGGATGGTGTGAATTTTCTCTTATATTTTGGTCATGTTTTCAGTAGGGACCAGTACCTGCAGAAAAATATCATGCTTATGTTAGGTAGGTGGAGGGTCAGTGAAAAAGAGGTAGACCCTTAAGGATATGGATGGGCATAGTGGCTGCAACAATGGGTTCATGCATGGCAAAATCATGAACATGGCACAGGAACTGGCAGTGTATCACTCTGTAGGGCATAGCATTCCCGTGAGCTGGAACTGATCTGATGGCACCGAACAACAACAGCATATGCATATGTATCATTAAAGTAACTTTACTTCTTTACTGATATATGTTCATAGACATAGATGTAAAGATAGATCAATGCCCCAGGACACGAATGTATTAAAGTACAAAAGTATGTTCTAGATGATATACAAGGAACTGATAGCAGTGCTTTCTTCCAAATAGGGGCAATAATAGCCTTAAGCATGTATTTTGTTTCATAAATATGTATTATTTACTCCTTTTTAAAATATGTGAATAAATGTGTAAATTAAAATATTCAGTATTATAAATAGACTTTCAACTACACCGACACTTGGAAAAATGTAAATAGATAAACTTATTTAGATCTAGATTTAATTATCAGTTTATAGAAAATACAAAGAGCATGTGTATGAGTTCATTTTGTTGTTTTACTTTTCTTGTTTGAAATTTTGAAACAAAAAAATTAAACTTAACATTTATATTCATTGAAAAACAGTGATCTTTGTGTTTGGACATATGCAATGGATTACATCTGATCTACAATTTCTTACCTGATAGGTAAGACCAGATTGGGAAGAAGAGATCACTCAGTCATAACATGTTCAATCTTTGTTAGAGACAGTGACTAACTCCTGACTACAGTGAATTGAGAATAGTCATATTGTACTGTGATCAAGTCAAAGCTAGAAGGCAGGAGAATTTTTCCCTGACTAAAGGAAACTAAAACAGCAATCTTCACATTTCATAACTTTTCTAATAATCTAGGCATGATCTCACTGTTTGTAAAGCTCAGCCCTTCCCAACCTGCAAGCTCACCTTCCAGGACTGAGCCCAGCCCATTCTCACCATATATAAAGTACTGCCGGGAGGACCTTCTCTGCACTTTCCTCCTCAGCTCT